TTTAATTGAAAATATGTATTGAATTAAGTACTGTACTGGCACATTTTCTTTTTAATTATTCCAGTGTTCAGTAAAACTTGACCAGCAGTGAGATCTTAAATATCTCTTTAGCAAAAACCTTCTCACATACCCGGAAAATTAAGAGGGGCTCCTTTTCCTCTACCAATTCTATTGTTCAGCGTTTTCTTTCTTCCACACTGAGCTGTGTTGTCAGGGGCACCTGGAGTTCAAGCTTCCTTTCTCCTGGGCAGGCTGCAATTGGGCTGAGTTTCACAGTTGTTTTCCAGTTTTGAGGCATTTAGCCAATTGTTCAAGGAAGGCTCTAACTGCAATTGATAGCAGTATCATTTAATCTTTAGATAAGTGGTGCATGACACACATTTATTAAGGACCAAATAACTTCTTGAAAATTAACTTTATTCTCTTACCCATAGAGATCAGATTTTTTGAAATGACAGATAACAGGCTGGGTAGTTTGGGAATTACAACTTATCAGTAAGTAGAATATATATTTTATTTTTATTTTTATTTTTTTTTTTGGTTTTTCTCCGGTACCGGGAACTGAACTCAACCTTGCGCTTGCCAGGCAGGTGCTTTTGCCGCTGAGCTAAATCCCCAGCCCCAGTAAGTAGAATATATAAATGACTACCATGTGTTTATTAAATGTACACTTAACAAACATGACTCATCACCTTAAAAATAATCTAAAATCACATCCTTTTTGTTTAAATGGCCAACAGTCCGTTTCTAGAAGATGATTCTACATGGAGAGGTATGTCTAAACAGATACTTACTCTTTCATTTGCTCATTCTTATAGCAGTCTTTTCAGGGTCCCACTGTAGTGGAAGCTCATAATTTACTGACCTAATTACTGACTCTGCATGGATGCATGCCGTAGTAGGGAGTGTGGTATGCTGGCTTAAATAAGAACTGTAAGTCATTTTTGATCTAAATCTTTTTGGTAAGTGGGTGTGTTTAGATTGTCTTATTGGTTCATGTGTTATCTTTCCCCTACACCGCCCCCAGCTTGTGCTTAGTTCTCTAGTTCTTTCGTTAGTAAAGAAAGGGCAGCATCAGAAGACTCACAGCCGATGTGTAAAATGTATAAACTATAATAGAATGCTGAAAAGAGCTATGTAGCAGGGACAGTACTGGTGGAAAGGCCACACTGGATAAGATCCCAAATGATAGTGAGGGTGGAAAGGGTGACAGGTTGTGTATACACCTGTGTGGCCAGGTGGCTGAGGCTGTTTTAGGATAGTCTGATTAGCCTGCTGTGGGGATGCTGCTGCTTCACTTGATCTGAAAAATAGAGCCATGGGCCCTAAGAGTATGTTGACTTTCTTGGTCAACAAAAAATTAATATTTCAAGATTCTTTCTTTAAACAAGAATTTTCATGAAGTTAGATTTGCTCTGGCTTAGATATGCATGTTTGAGTTTTAAAATCATGACTTCCCATTTCTCAAAGTTTCTGGTTTCTCACATCTGGCATGTCCAGCTTGTCTAGATAATTTTGAATTCTGACCCTGTCACCTTCATACTAGCCTTCCCTCTGTACTTCGTGGTGTTCCTCAATACATTCTGCACATCAGTCATTCCAGTCCTTTGAGTTGTTGCTCTGCTCAACCTCCTTTTGTCATTGCCACCAAGTCCTCTTAGTAACCGAGGGTGCATCAGCCTTTGCTGGAGGTCAGAGGGCAGAGGGCTAGGGTCTGTGCCAAGAAAGAGAGGAAGCTAATCATACCCGTGACCCCGACCTCATTAACATTGTGTTAGATCCAAAAAAGCCAGCATTCCCTGACATTATTTGACTTTGGATTGTCTCTACTGATTTATAGTCATGAGGTTCATATTCCTGCCTTCTAAGGTAGGCATATGTAACAACCTGATGAGAATGCAGTAGACATTCAGTACTTTATACCTCCTTTTAACTACAATTGTGCTTTAGATTGTCAGATAGTCCTTGGGCCTGGGATAGTGATTTGGCTGACCACCAATCCCAGATTGACAAGACTTGAGTGGAGAGGATAGGAAATGGAGTTTGTGGGCTGAAGTTTATAGATGGAGTAAAAGCTTCACGCTGGTATTCCCATTCCTTCAAGCAGGGCTTCTTTGACTTATGTACCATCATCACCCAGAATCTCATTAAAAGGCAGCCTGTGGGGCTTGGAATTCTGCATTTCTAAATGAAGTCTCCCAGTGATACTGATGCTGCTTACCCTGTGGAGCACACTTTGAGGGGCAAGTCCTGCCATGAGTCTGGCTTGGCGATGAAACCAGGGAATAGCCAGATGGAAAAGTGATCTGTAAGGCTGAACTTTGCCTATAAGGTGCCTCTGGAGTCTGACTTGAGAATTGGTTGCCTGCTATTTAAGCCCAGGTTCTACTGGGGCAAGACCAAGGGCCAAGTCTGCCTGGAGCAGTTGTACAGAGATTTTATAGGTTAGGCAGGTTATGTGGGGCCTTGTCGTGAAATACGATGAAGTTGTATGGGAAAGGTTTTTAAATTTATTTTGTTTTTGCTAAGTTTTAGTTAAATTGATTTTTCTTCTTACATGTTGGTTATATTGCCTAAGTTTAACTAAAGAAGGCTCTAACTTCCTTCAATTTAAACCTGCATTTTCCCAAATACTCTGTAACTTTGAAGTTATGTGATTACAAAAATTTTAAAAAGTTGCCTATTGTTTCATTTGGAGCATTATTCTGAAACTTGCCTGATACTCTACTGGGTGCTGTCTACACAGCTGAATTCCCCTGCTTCTTTCCTGTGATTCCTACTTCTCATTTTGGAGTAGGTCCTGGGAATCTGCATTTTAAAATGATCAGGCAGGTTCTAGAAAGACCAATTTGAAAAAATGTCAGTGTAATTACCTATCTGTCTGAGCCTGTCTTACTGGCCATGGCTGAGAAATAACTGTACCTGTTTACCTGTTGGGTACATGCCTATTAAGTTGGGAAGGGCTGTCTGTTCTGTTGGATTCACTTCCATTTTTTATCTTGACAAGCTTTTGTTCTTACAGAGCGGCTCTTATCTTGGATGGAACCAAATCAGAGAGTCCTTTGTCAGCAGTATAAGAAGTTAGTTCCGTGAAACCTTTATTTTTAGGAAAGTTTTACAGACTTTACAGACTCATTACTAAGTACTCTGGGGCATTCTTTGGGATATTGGGCTGTGAGCAGTATAGGGAATCTTTAAGGTCTTGACTCTGACCTTTCCCTCTCTCCTCCCTACTTTGGCTCAGAACCTGGAGATAATGAGCAGATAATACATGACCAGAAAAGAGCCCCCATCCTTGCTGGGCCCGCTTGGTTCTGATCCAAGTGAACAGTGTGATTAAGATATCAACTTTCCACAGTATTATATCAGCGTTAACTTCCACTTCTACAGGTACAGGATCCATCTCAGCCACACCCTAAAGACAAAGTTTGGTTGTGAAACACAAACTGAGAAATGGTCAATGTGGTTGGATTGGAGGCGAGCGGCAGGAAGCTCAGGCAGGGCAGGCATAGCAGGGGCAAATGGGAAGGTCTAAGAGCTGCAGTGTGCAAATGTAGGGTGCAGTCCAGGATTTCAGTGGTATTGCTTGGTGTGGACTGGAAGTCCTCACTGCCTCTATGCTACAGTTGTTCTGTGGCTGTCCTGAGGTCCTACAACTCAGCCACCCATATGGACTTGAGATTATGGGCAGCTCCTGGAAGCTGAGTAGTATATTGACTTCATGATCTGTGTTGATCTAAACACTGTTTTGTAATTTGGATCCCATTTTACCTTTCTTTTTTTTTTGGTACTAGGAATTGAACTCACGACCTCACGCTTACTGGGCAGGTGTTGTGCCACTGAGCTACCTCCCTGGCCCCTGTTTTACCTTTTTTAAAAGAAAAACAAGAGCTGTAGTAACAAACAACAATGTGAGAAATTGCCCGCAATTTACAGAAATAATGCTTTTTTTCCAGAAGAGAAAAATGATAGAAATTCAAAGAGAGAGGGAGCTGAACTGGGCTTTTCTTAATCCTGAAATACTTTTTGGCTCCTGGGCCTCTGTGTCTTAGTAACCACAGGGCTTGTTCCATGCCCCAGAAGGAAACTTGATTCTCTTATAAAACCACATGGATCCTCCCAGGATGGCCTCAATGTTTCAATTCCTGGAGTGGTCAGATTCTGTATCTAGGTGGGAGGGAGAACATCTAGAAGGAGAAGCATGTGTCCACTTTGCTCAAAGCTTAAGTCCCCAAAACAACTGTTGACAACATTGCTTGGGAAATACCCTCTTCCCTGAACCCCATTCTGTGGAAAGGGTGGGCCGGTCCTCTCTGTCCCGTTGGTCTGCAAGGCTAGGAATTATTCCAAGCCTCCACAAAACCACCTTTGTGCATTTCCTTTAAAAAAAAAAGGGCTTCAAAAACCCCGTAGAGCGTGAGGCCTTGAGCACAGGGTCGGTGTTTGTTGTAGGCTAGGCCAACTCAAGTTTTTGTTTGTCCTCCATTATGGCCTACTTTTGCTTGTCAGGCCACAGGCCCCATTACTTGCTATGGAGTTTCTTTGACTCCTCTGGGATCAACTGGAGCCTCTGCACAGGCTCCTACATCGCATTGTACCTTCTTGGCTTGGCTATCTCTCAGCAGTATTGAGGTTATGTGTGCTGTTTACTGTGTCCTTTTGGTCTGTAGCTCTCTGGGGGTGGGGAGCCCAACATACGTCATTCATTTCTGGGTCTCTAGACATGTAAAAGGCTTTTGTAGTTGTCTGTGAGGTGGATGCTGCAGAGGAGGAAAGTAGGGCATAGGTAGGTTGAATACTTTGCTTATAGTTATCCTGCCACTGAGCTAAAACCAGGATTCTCACCTCAGTCTGTTTGATCTAACTTCTTGGTAGGTGACACTGCCAGGTTTTCTGCTCAGTGACCAGTGAGCCCTAGCCATGGTCTGAAGATCTTTACTTTTACCAGGAAAGGATGAACCACTCCAAGTTAACAGACATACCTTTTTCCTGTTTTTCAGGTAAACTGAGAAACAGACTCTTTGTATTTCACTGAGAAGCATCTCATACAGGTAAGGGGTTGGTTCCTGGTTTGTTCATGCCAGGTGAGTTGTTCCAGAATGGTATGATAGTGCTCCTTGATAACTGTCAAGGGTTCTTACTCATTAGAAATAAAATCCTTACACAAAGGATAACATCTCTGCTAGAAAAGGTCGAAAATGGTCCTCTGTCCTTGTGTGTGATTTGGTGGGGATATTTACCTAGCTGGTACTCTCCTTCTTGCTTTCTTTACCATCCACCCTCTTTCCTCCAGCCCTGCATTTAGGCTAGTGCTTTAGAATTCCTGAGATCCAGCCACAGCTTTGCCTATTATTTAGCAAACTGTCTGAATGAGAGGCTGTTTGTAGTATAGCTTTTCCCAGCTATCTAGCAGAATAAATCACTGCTTCTCTGTGCTCACGTGGCCTGATGCTCTTGTCAGGGTAAGCTTTGCTTACTTGTTTATATATGTCTTTCTCCTCTGGTCAATGAGCAACTTGTACTACCATCTCTCACCTAGTGTATCTCCCAACATGAAACAGATCTTCAATAAAAGAATGAATGTTGTTCTAAGGGAAAAAAATGCCCTAGTAAAATAAACAAAGGTACAGCCACACATACACCCCCCCCCCAAAAAAAAAATCACCCTGTGTTTCTAAACCAATTAAATGATTTTTAGAGTGCCTTCTGCATTCTGGGTTACTTGGTTCTTTACTCATTACCACACATAATTGAAAATTTACCATAATATAGTTAAATCAATAGGAGTTTGGATTTTTACCCATACTAAACAGGGTGAGAAGTCACAGTTTTTTATTTCATTGTATTCTAGAATAGTTTCAGTGACACTAGGAGGTGATGGAGCAGGTACTAAATGGGAGCCCTCTTGTCTGCTGTTGGAAAGATAAACATTGTCAGCCAGACCTAGAAACCCCAGTCACCTCAGCCATTGATGGGGAGATCACTGTAGGGTTGAACATGGATGTAAATATATAGTTAGTAAAGGAACAAACAATAGACTTTCCCCATTGGCAACCAAAAGGAAATAAAAACAGTGTTCTCAGTGGCATGAGCACTTGTTTTAAAACATAATTTAGACTTAGATGATTTTAGTAAAAAGCTTTGTGTTAACACACTTCAGTTTTCTCATAGTTGTCAGTGAAGTGGGACTTTGAGAGGTGCAGTATCAGGTTAAACTGATAACTGCTTTGTCTGTGGATAGGAAGAGAATCTCCTAGAGCAATGGTTTAACTTAATGGAACCTGGCTTCTCTTGGGAGCTAGTAGGTGGCTAAATTTACTGAAGCCTGAGGTGGTACTGAAGTCTAATCAAAGCTCTTTTTCAGAGCAGAATGTGGCTGTATATTTTGCTGTTACCTTCAAATTCTGCTTCTGCAGCAGCATGAGTCACTGTCCAGCATTTCCAATTGCTTTGGTGGGGTGTGTGGAGCAGTGAATCAGAGAAAGAGATTTCTGTGTGTGTTTCCCATGACCAAACAGAGGTATTAGTAGTGCTGGGTCAGAGAAGTAGTCACATACCTATAGATTCTTCTACCTGGTGCCAAGTCCTAACTATAGGGCTTCCTGAAAGAAAATTTATTGAACAAGGCAATAATAGGACTTTAACTCCCAGCTGACCATCTTAATGGTTTTAAAGTTTCCTAGGGCTTGGGTAAAATGAAAATTCCAGGAATTTGAAATTTGCTCACGAATTTCTACTCTGTGGAAGTAATTTGTCTTTTGTACTTGGAAAATAAACTAAGAAAATGAAATGAATACATTGGATGTTAAAATATGATTGGGTTTTGGGCGTCTTTGAAGTTTGAGGTATTACTGAATATTTGTGTCACACCTGCCCTAGAGAGGCTGTGTGCAGGGTATTTGTTGGGCCTGGTCTTCACTCTGCCCAGCACAGGAAATGATTAACTTAATTCATTATGAGCAGTGAATTCTAGGAGATGTCTGACTCTCAGAATGCTTCATGTTTTACAATACAATTCTTACCAGGTTAGAAAAAAACCAAAAACAGTGAGGTAGGTCAAGACCTCAAGTTATTGGGCTGGTTTTTTCCCTATAGGGCTCAGACATAGGTATATACTGAGGATACTTCACAGAGATCTCTAGTTGGATCTTGACCACCCCCATTTCATTCTAATTAGAAAGCCCAAGAAGTAGTACAGTTCCTGAGTTTCCTTAGAGCTTTGTGATATGTAATACATATTTTGGACTTGTAGCATTATGCTGTTCTTTCATTAAGTGAAATGTTTACTCTCTTTAAAGATGAGACTTGAGTGCCTCATCAGTTGAATGTGTGTATATGTTTTTATTATAGCTGTTTTATGCACTGGGTTTGATCTAAAGACACTGTCCAATGTGGGCTCCTTATGTTCAGGTAGACACTTGGGAACAATCAGAGCAATATCAAGTAGTAGACACAATAGCTGGTCAATTGCTCTCAGACTCTGGTGTTATTAGCATCTTGGACTCTGATTGACAGTTCTTTTATTACTGAAATGCCTAGGTCTGTGTACCAATGAATGGATAGATGGTTAGATAAATGAATGGCACTCCCCTCAGCCAGACTCTTTAGATGTTTTTGGTTTTCTGAGATGAATTTTGAATCTTCAGCTGTAGTTCCTTAAAGAGGAAGCAGAGTCTCCAAGATAGTCTTTCAATTTCCGTGTGAAGCTGGTTTCTTTACTGACATCTAGTTTGCTTTATTCCATTTCTAGATCACAATTCATGGATAATTTGGGAACCACTTTTTACTTGGATGAGGTAGTATCTTGTCAACTATAATTTGTTGGCCAGTTTGTCTTACCTACTTTAGAGGTTGTATAGTTGATTTGAAAGGCTTACTGGTCCTTGGTTCCAGGAAAAGTTGATTTTCATTGGGAGATCTTGAATTTTTTTTCTTTACAAAAGAATTAACCACCTTATGCCCTCTTTCAGTTAAGAATAACTCTTCCCTATTCTTTAGTGTTTTCTTTGGGTTATAGATCTGAGTTGGAAGGAGGTTCTTTGGGTAACTAGTTAATGAAAGTAACTTTTCAATATAGGCAAAGGACAGTTGTTTCTTCTCCCATCTCTTTTAATGGCAAAAAGTAGATCCTTTGAATTTTCCGTGAGTCCTTTTCTCTGTGGATCATTCTCTTATGGAGCAGTTGAGTACTGGCTTCTGGAGTTCTGTCCTCTCAGGTCCCTTCCTAAGATCCAGGAAGCCTTGGTTGGCTCCCTGCAGCCTTTGCTGAAGCTGACTTCCTAATGGGAAGCTCTGGTGCCATCTCTCCTACATCTCCTCTGCATCCACTGGATTCCCTTTATGGCTGAGGTGGTACTTTTTTCTGAAAAAGAAAACAAACAGTTGTAGCTCCCATTTAGCCCAGCAGGCTGGTGAAAACAGTTCTCATTCTCCTTATTCCTGGCTTCAAAGTGCACTTAACATTTTATGGGAATGATCAGCCCTCCCAAGGTGCTGGCCTGAGTAGACCTGTGTGTTAGCTTGGTGGACAATTAACCACACAGACCTCCTCCTTTTGCTTTGGCCTTTCTGGCTGAATTGACACTAATGCTCTGAGTGAGAAGGGACTGCTGCTCCTTTGAGCAGAGCACCAGGCCTCAGTAGGGAAACATTTGATCTTGTTCAAAGGAGATGTCTCTGAAGCATGAAGATTGAACTGATTGTGACCCCACCCTAGGGGATGGAGGAGCTCCCTCTGGAGAGCAGGCCAGGAGGAAGAAGCCATCAATCACTAATCCCATTGGCCTGTGGGTCTTTGGGGTCTCATATTCATTTAAAGGAGAAAGAATTACAGTTGAAAGCAATAAAGAAGTCCTTAAATGAGAGGATCAGGGGGTCATTTTATCTAATTTTGTGGTTGTTAGTGAGGAATAAAAGGGAAAGGAGATAATTTCTTTAGCCCTTTTGAGATCTTTATCAAAGCACATGGCATTTGGGGAGGTGGCAGAGCCTCACAAGGCTATTTCCTTCCTAGTAAACCTAAGGCTAAAGTTTCCATAGAACCTGGGAGGGCTTGGGAGCCACAGTATTCTCTAGGGTACTATGGTCAGGAATATATGGTTGGTCCTGTCATAAGGGAAAGGCTAGTGGCCAGAAGTCTCCGTATATGACTGCCAGCTTCTCAAGATCATGATGTTTAATCTGAAAATAAAGAAATCCATCAGGTGAAAGGCCTTTTTAGGTTTGGGATTCTTTCACCTCTGAGGAACACTTGCCAGTCATCTGTTGTTGATTTGATTTATTTGGAGCATGATGATCATTAACATTCTTTTGGGCTGAGTGACGTGGAAAGCCTTAAAGCATGTGGTGTTTTAGCAGCAAAGTGAGAGCAGTGTCTTCTATTTGATGAGTGCCGTTCTGTTTAGCGTGTGAGTTCATATCTGTTCCTTTCTGAAAGTCTTGTTGGGTCGGCAGGTTTTCTTTGCATGTTTCTATATAGAGAAGGGAGAGAAAAGAGAGGCTGTGTGACTTACCAGGTCTCCCAGTAGTGAAGTAGGAGATTTGAATTCCATCCCTAGACTTCTGACTTTCAAATTGAACTTTTTGGGTCGTCATTATGGAGAACAGAGTGGAGGGGATGGAGTGGGCAGAGAGGGAGGAAAGCTTTAAAAATTCTTCCAAGAAAGGAAGGCAAAGTGGTGGTGCATGGACAGTTCTCTGCACCAGCCACCAGCTGGCACCATTCCCCAAGGCAGCTTGGTTTTTTCCTGAAGAGGGGCAGAGTGACCAGAAGAAAGGGAGGGGGAGCTCAAGGAGATTGGGGATGAGTAGGTTTGAAGGGCTACTTGTGTGTCTGATCTGGGGTACCTGGGATAAGGTAGGATGTGGCACCCACTGTTCCCTTTGTCTCATTTACACTCTTTCTGGCCCATACCCAGTTGCTTTCTTGTCTCCTGAGTCTCTTCAACTATGTAGATTTCTGCTTAGTATTTGTGGACTTACCTCAGAAAACAAGAGAACTTGTCTTGAGATGTACTAATAAAAATCCTATTAACTGCTGTTAAGTGCATTT